TTATTATTATTATTATTTTATTATTATTATCATTATTTTTATCATTACATGTATTAATATCATTACAAAAGTATATGAAAATATATACCCACGGAGAAGGATTACGATAATGTATCCGAGCAAAGAAATGCATCGAGTGCCGTGATCGCCCCTGTTTGTAGCAGGTCTGGCACTTTGATGATGATGATGACGATTTTACATTATATATATATATATATATATATATATATATATATATATATAATATGCACGATTTTTATGGGTGAAGGCATTTGTGTCGGTTCTCTGGGTAGCATTCCGATTCGGACAATTATGGAAGCGAAGACATTAATTTTACATTTTACTGTAAGCTGTTCGTAGAAGTCGGAACAGAGCGCTTGGGTGCTTGTGTGTCCGTGTGAGCGTGTGTCCGTGTGAGTGTGTGTGTGTGTGTGTGTGTGTGTGTGTGTGTGTGTGTGTGTGTGTGTGTGTGTGTGCGTGTGTGTATGTGTGTGCGTGCGTGTTTGTGAGTGTGTGTATGTGCGTACCCGCGAGTGTGTGTGTGCGTGCCTGTGTGCGTCTTCGTGTGTGCGAGTGTGCGTATGTGTTTGTACAAGAATATGCATGTACCTGTATGCTACAATTTTTATACTATGTTAGACTGACTATGAGAACGGCTGACAATTCGAAACGTTTGTCGGTATATATCATATGAACATGCATGCTCGTAACATACCGCATCTCAGAACTCACAAAAAAGGAATATTGTACTACAAGTATTGTGAGAGGGACTGATGTTCAAATTAGTTCGTATGTTTGAAGAGGCGGGCTTGTAAGATGTCCAGATTTAAAACTAAAAAAGGATGATTAATTTAAATAAAAACATTTTTTTTAAAAACACGAGAGAAAAACAACAACCCAACAACATCCACGTGTTGGTAGATCTGGATCTCTGATAAACCTTCACTCACTCTGACAAGGAGAAGTCGTTGATGGCACGGTCGAACTCACTATCGACGTCTCGACGGACATTCTTAATACTCCTTCCGAACAAGAAAATTTCAACCGCGGAGCATTCGCACAGCCCGCTATCCAGACATCTCCTCCTGTCATGTGAACGGCTGTGTCACGTATGAACGAAATTAGAATCAACCCGTCAAAGTAGTGAATGTAAATTTTGATCGCACGGTCTGACATCCGACGGGATGGAAGGGAGGGAGGGGCTTCTGCACTTTCTCGTGAGGACAACGCCGTACAGCTCGCTCGCTCTCTCTCTCTCTCTCTCTCTCTCTCTCTCTCTCTCTCTCTCTCTCTCTCTCTCTCTCTCTCTCTCTCTCTCTCTCTCTCTCTCTCGCTCTCTCTCCCCTCTCTCTCTCTCTCTCTCTCTCTCTCTCTCTCTCTCTCTCTCTCTCTCTCTCTCTCTCTCTCTCTCTCTCTCTCTCTCTCTCTCTCTCCGTCAAGGGTGGATGGGTCATAGAACGGGGGAGTGCGATGGGAAACGTAAATGAATCCCAGCAGCTAGCTCCCTCATTGGCTGGCAGATACCGCGGCCCTTTCTGACACACCCGCAAACAGGGAGGAAAAATAAAACAAAATTAAAAAACAAAACAAAAACAAAAACAAAACGGAGGGCATGAATTGCCATGAATGGCTTTCCGGGGGTGTTTTTTGTACATGTTTTTCTCCATTTCATATATATATACATATCGTTTCCTTCTTTCCTTCTTTCTTTTCTGTAAAGAACGGGCAAGTTGAACTTGGTTTATAAGCGAGTTTCGTGCATTGATAATAGCTCAGCGCATGTAATTTAATTTGAACACGATACATATTCACAGAATATGGACTGAAGCTGTCATAAGTTGCGTGATGTTATATATATATATAAGTGTTTTACAGTGCTCGCTATTGCATAAGGACATATGAGCGCACGGATTTTCAGTTGGTGGGAATTTTTTAAATTTCGCCCGGGTGGCGGCCAAAGCCTACTCTTATCGATTTGGACCACCAATGGGTCTTTAACGTGCGCAACTTGCACACGGGACCTACGAGATTTCTCGCCCTTGTCCAAGAAGGCCACATAATATAGATCTTTCCAACAAACAAAAAATAGAGGTGTCGCTGAAAGACAGCAATCAGTAAGAAGGAGCCAAGGAG